GTCGTACCTGGTTGAGTTTATAGGAGGGGGGTCGTATCCGCTTCAGTCGCGTGAAATTACATGTGAGTTTGTGGTGAAAGTGGAGTTTTCACGAGTAGTAGGCTAGGTGAGTTGGGAGCGCATGGGAGAAAAATTCGCCGTTTCAGCGCGCGTATATACCCCCGCTCGACGGCATTTTTGGAGGAAAAAGTGGGCGGAGTTTGGTGGGTTGAGTGGTACCAGAATTAAATACTATAGAGAGGATGATGGTGGTCGAGGTGTCGAAAAGGGGGTCGTATCAAAGTCCACCTTGGGGGAGGGGGTCGTAAAAATTTTTGAAAAAGTAACAACGATAGGACCGACCCTGTACGTACCCTCGCCTTCAAATGACCAGAAATTGTGCAATTGCAGAAATTGACGTGGCATTGGCACACGTGGCTAAATTCTCGATGAAAAGGTGACATCACGTGTGCTCAAAGATGTTCTTGAATCGATGCCACGTTAATGCCACGTCAATTTCTGCAATTGCACAATTTCTGGTCATTTGAAGGCGAGGGTACACATAGAGGGGGGAGGGCCAAACAATCACTATCTCTCTACTTCGAAAGGGAATAAGTTACATGTTGCTAAAAGCTTACCCAATCTTCCAACTGGAAACTGAAGAGGACTTCCAATTTGCCAATAAAAACTTCACAACAACCTTCTATACCGGAGATTTCGAAAGAATTTGCCACGGGAACACGGTTCGAGCACAACGGATTGTAGACCATTAAGGCGATGTCTGAAGAGCTGCTCGGAGATTGTCTTGCATAATCTGAGCTACAGTCGTTGCTGTCCACTGGTAAAAGATCGAAAAAATTATGCAGCAGCTTCAGCTGGAGCGATTACGGTAGGCCTCCTTGAGCTCGACGGACGATGGCAGATGACGTCATATTCTGAAGACGGTGAGGGCAGTGAAGGAGGGCCTGCTTACTTATAGAGGGACATAGGAATATTTTGCCGTAAACTTTCATCAACGACGGCACCCTGTGCGACGAAAAGTTGGCTGATGTAGCCATGGGCAAAGTGACTTTTTTTTGCCTCCCCTTTGCATATCCAGAGTTAAATGTGCCACATTTAGCAATGGTGTCGCGTTTGAGAATTTTTTTTT